TCTACTTGCTAGCCAGTGTTTAGGCTTTCCAAGTAACCAAAACTCTAATGCATGACAAATTGGCCACCTATCAGCTTTTCTTTGCTTTGTCATACAGAACATAACTAATGTTGTCTAATACTGTCAGACTTTAATGCCCCTTCCCAAGCGTTTTTGCCCTTTCTACTGTGGGAAGAAGGGACATGCTTTGAAGGCTCATCCTTCTTTAAGTGGACTCTGTAGGAATGGAAGTTAAGCAAGACCAGACTCTAAACAGGGTGATGACTCATGTTAAGTATTTATAGATTAATTGTGTAGAAAAGAAGATGATATCGCTGATAAAAAGCAGTATGTCACAACTTTTTTTTTCCTCCCCAGAACTGACATAAAGCAGGTTTCTAGGGCCCAGATCCTGCTGTTTTTTCTGTCTCTGTCTCTTTGGAGATGTTCTAATTTCACCAGGCTGGGATATATCCATGGGAAACCTTGAATTTTTCACTTGATTCAGGATTTTATTTTATTGATATGATAGATTTAAAAAAATATTATTAATCTCTTCCTATTCTGTAAGCAGTTATTTTTCAGGGTATTCAGATTTTAAGCTTGCTTTCCATCCCACCTTAGCCTCCTGAGAATAACTGTTTCTGAATTAATTCAGCTGAAAAAAACCCAAAACCTAGTAATTTTTGCCGCTGTGGACTGACTTCTGGTAAACTGAGGGATTAATTTCAAGTTACTTGTCAAAATATTCTTGCTTGGGAGTTCAATTAATCTGTTGTATTGTCTCCTGAATAGTCTGTTCTGTGGGCAGTTTCTTTCTAGTGTTACTTCCCACTGCATACGAAGTATCTCACTCGCTCTCAGGTATTATCTGAGGGATTTATGGGCTGCTCTTCCTCAGACACGTTGTGGTACTTCTCCCTGAGACTATTGAAGTGCTTGCCACGGTAGCCGTGGGTTAGCAGGGTAGTGGAGCACGATGCTGTTCCTTGATTTGCTGTGGAGGAGGGGGGTGTGAAGTGGATAAGAGCTGAGAGGTGGGTGTAAGTGGCTGTGATCGTGGAGTGCTGGAATAAGAGCTTTGGATGTAGTGGTGGGGAGAATGAAATTAGTGCCTTTGAACTGCTTTGAAACTGCTTGACTAATAACTGGCTCCATTTATAAGGCTGATAAGTGGGTTTCTACCTTCTATCAGACACTTATGACTGAATAGAAACCATTTCAGTCTCCTGAGGAAGAGAGGTTTATATTGCCCTCAATAAATTTGGAGATCTTGTGTTGGTAATTTATGTTTTTGGTGTAAATATACATACATACATTTATGCACATATATAATTGTATCAATCGATCTTCAATGTTTGCCCACAACCTGTGAAATCCTTTCCTAAGAATACTCCAAAATATTGAGCCCCACTAAAGGGCTTCCTGCTTCTGAAAATGAAGCTATTGACAATATTTTAAATGAAATTTCCTAATCTCCCAACACATTCTGAATTAAGTTTTCTAAACTCCCTTTCAGTTGGCACATTTTATCCCATCTTAAAAGGCAGATACCTTAACATCAGGACTAAAGGCTCCTACAGTATAAAATAAATGACTATGAGATAAAATTGAATTTTTTTTAACATAAAGTAAATAAATATCCCAAGTCTGATTTCAGCTTTAGCATTGCTGACACACCTACTAACAACCCCATGTCAAATAAGAAGGTGTCAAATAATGCTCTGTGTGTGACTGTAACTTTAACTTACAAAACTACTGTGGACCTGGTATCTAACATGTATTTAGTCACTTTTCTAGCAACAGCAGCATATAGAGGAGCATGATATGAGAATCATATACTGTGACAAAAATGAAGGTAAGAAAGGTAACAAATATAGCTTCCACATGATTTAAAGTACTGAGCATTTCAAAACTGAGTTGTCTGTGAAATGTTCAAAGGGTGGACTTGAGATATGTAAAACTGGAGAGACAAAGGAATCCCTGTTCTTCCCTCAGCTTCAGTGCTTTCATCTCACGCTTCAATCTTTCATTTATATATTATAATTAAAAATTAATTATAATTACTAAAAACTAATTTCATTTAACCAGATAAAACCCTGGGCTAACACGATTTAAAATATTTTTACTTGGAAAGGAGAAATCAATGATTATATCACATGCTGGAAGACTTACAGGTAGTCTGCATTTTTCTGTGCCACAGTTTACTTGGAAATACCTTTCCTATCTTGAAACCATTATTTTCACCATTAGAGAAATCAGATAAAACCTCTTGTTGTGTTGCATTATCTCACTTATCCTTCACTTGTGGGAAAATGCAGAGCTATACAAAAGCATTAATATTTATTTTTGTATTAATTTTCAAGTTTAAACATGAATGTGTGGAGGAGGGAGAAGTGCTTCAAATCCTTAGCTAAAATCAAGTCTTTTTAAACTTACTTATGGCTGATCAAGAGGACAAAGATTCAATTTGTAATGAATTCAATTAGCATACTTTAGATAAAATCTTACTGTGCATTCAGGGAAATGTTTGATTGTTTACTGGCTGGATTTGTCTCATGAGAGCTGGTTGAGAGAGGTATTAGTGGATTAGCTAAGAATTCGTTGGCCTTCAACTCAATACTAGCATTTATACTGTGAGTTTAGTAGATTTATGAAGCACTGACTCAATACTCAGGAGTCAAAAAAGGTAGAATGAATTTTAGAATTTTTCAGGAAACTCAGTGAAGAAAGCAGAGAACTTAATTATGCCGCTTCTACAGCCATGGTCCATTCATATTATCAACACTATATACATCAATAGCTCAGAGTAGAAGGAAAGACCTCTCCACAGATGACTGAGGAGAGGATGAGAGAGGATGAGAGAGAAGTCTGTGAAGTCTTGGATGGCTTCCTGCTTGCAGAGAGTATCAGCAGCAAGTGGATTGTGACAGGCAAAAAGACCATGAGTAGAATCTGACTGGAGAAAAGGACTCTTATCTTTCAGAAGTAGCAAAAAATTAACATTAATAATGTTTTACAGTAGTAGTATTGCACTGTCACCAATTGTTTTTTGTCATTGTCTCTTATCGTAGGACAAATTAGGTTCACGTGTCACTTCCCATCTGCTTTTTTGTACTTGTACACAAAGTAATGCCATTCAAACTTTGTCATGGTTCGGGCCCCAGAAGACATCACAAAACTTGAAACTCTGTTTCATTCTATAATTTCATTGCTCCCTCTTTTCCTTTTCTTCCTACATAAAATTCTAGTATAACTTACTTCTGAAGAATTAGTAGAATAGGCACTTAGTAAAATTATATTTTTCTGTTTCTGACTTAATTAATTGATGTAGAAACTGGATTTCAGAGAATGAGAAACAATTGCAGCAAGGGCAGCTAATAACACACTTTTTATATCCATGTAAAAATCTTTTTTTTACTCCATTGTTACATTAGATTCCATATTTTGCTCCCACCTCTTCATGTCAGGAGATTTTTACCCTTTCTCACAACTCAGTTTTGAGGTTTTGGAAACTGTAAACTGGAGAATCCAAAGTATTAGAAGATCCAAAATGCTCTCTGAAACAGGCTCCAGAAATATTACATATTTACATGTCTGCATACTTCACTCTGTTTTACATCCCTCTGAAAATCTGTTTGTAGACAAGCAAATTTCCCACTCTGAGTTTCCTAGCCTGTGCTGTAATCCATTCCACTCTTGAACAGATGCCACACACTTTCATTCTATATTATATGAATGATTTGCCCTTGGATCCACAAAAAATATCCTGAACTTATTTTATTTGACGACAACACCGAGTTTAACTCAAGACTCAAGAGGGCAAAAGGTTTCCTAATTATTCACCATGCCTCTTGCTGGAGCACTGACTAGAAAATGTCTATTATTTTGCTAAACAGCAAAAAAGTGTATTTATATGTGCAGTTAGCATGCAACCTTTTCAGCGCTTCCCTGTGCCTTACATTTCTGACATCTTTTTCAGTTGTCGTTCTGAAAATGTCATGGATCAAATCCTTCAGTAAGGACGTAATACAGAACAAACCTGACTTGTTATGACCTTAAGACTGATTTTGTTGAACTATATTCTTTCTGTTTGCAGAATATGGCTTCCTAACCTGCATAAGACAGTTTTTTGATTTGGTTTGGTTTTTTTGCTTTGCATAAAAATGGTCCTAGCTAGTAGAAAGAACACCTCTTGCATAATAATCAACATACTTCCTTAAATAAGGAATGAATGGCAAGTGTGGGCCCACCTTATCTTTTCAGGGAAATACCTCCCTATATTCCCTCCAGTTACATCTACACTAGTAAAGCTTCACAGAAAGGAAAGAACTTTGTGACTCTGGTTTATATTTATTCATAAATTGTCAATTGCTCTGGCAGTCCATTGAAAATATTTCCTCTCAGAGTCCTGTTTTCGAATCAGCCAAACGGAATTTCCAACAAGCTCTTTTACCAACTGCATCAATAACAGATTAAGGACAGCAGCTTTCAGTGAACAGGATTATTCCTGTCAGTGGTATAAACAGTACCACTGTCACTTGTTTTGTTTTGATGCTGGAATACTGGAGTCTTGACTGCAGATTCTAAGAAGAAACCTTGGATACACAGGGAAAGCTATTTTTGGACTGAGGCACTGCAGTTAAAGCAGTATTGATCAATCTACAGGATAAAGCTTGTTTAAATATTATTGGTTTCATTGATTTTTCTCTTTTTTACCATTGTAGCAAAATAATTGTGAAGTGCATTCTAGATATTGTCCTCAGTTGTCATAACTGTCACTTCCCCAGAGAAAAGTGCCATTGTAAACATAAACATCTACACTACAAAATGAAAAAAAAAGTGTGTGTTATACTGGGCAGTACCTGTAAAAAGCAATAATTGCTTTTACATCATTCATTTATTTAGAAAGTTCAGCTGGTCTACTTCTACTTCTAAATCCTCTAACACTTGCCTTAAGAATGTCAAACCCAGACTGTGTTGTAACAACCCTTATTGCAAAATTAATGCTCTGCGCTTACCTATGCAGGCACTCGGAAAGGTGATGACAAATGTGCTTCTTACCAAACAAAAATGACAAGGGAATACCTTTGACTCCTTTTACAAAACCAATATATTGCAAGGTTGTTCTCTGGAAACCTTTGAAGTACACCGTGGTGGTTGCCATCCCGCCGGAACCCAGGCTGGACATCACAATCTGCTTCCTGGTCGCGGATTTTTTTTGCTGTTTTGCTGATGGCAGATTCTGGCAGTTGAAACATCCACTGTGAAATTGTGATAGCCAGAGATTCAGGTTAATTCTTTCCTTAGAAGTCAGAAATATCTTTGCAATATGTGATATAAATGCAAAAGTAACCCATGACTGCTCTCTACCTCCTCTACCACACCACCAAAGCAGAAAGGTGCATTACCCTGGGGATGAGTGGTGTGGTCCCTGCCCCAGGAGAAAAGGAATTAGAGTCCCTGCTGTTTCTCTCTGGCTGAAACTGGCCACTAATGTTTTTTTCTGCCATCTGACCATTATGCAATTTGAGAGGGGTGTCCATAGTGACCACTGTGCATTCGTGGATGAGGTGTTTCAGAGGCTTACTTTGAAATCTCCCTTGGCTCATTTTCTAGAGTTGTCAAATTGATCAGAATTAACCTGTCATACATCACTCAAAATTCTGATTAACCAATGAAGATTTCTATTAGTTTAATTCTTTGTATTTTGGTCTGCCTTTGTAAAACCCTTTCTCTGGGAGGGGTTAGGAGTTTTCTATTTGAGAAAGCTGAAGGAATGTGAGGGATTTTTTCACCCCCAAGCAAATTCCACTCTACTAGTATTTGTGTGGAAATAATTAATTTGGATTTAATCACAGTAAATTTTACCTATATAGCTATAAGCAGTGTGGCAGTTAATTACAAAATCACTCAAGGAGTTGTTACTGAAGGAACATAGTATAGAGGGAAGAGTATTAACCTAGCAAATCAAAATTAAATGAACCAGCAGGAAGAAAAATAAACCAAAAACCCTCCCGAAAAAAACTTTCACTTTTTCAAGGATTTATTCTTTCCACTCCTCCCCAATTACTGTCAAAAAGCTGTCTCGAAACATTTTTTCCCAGAAATGTAATTGAAAAGGGCATCTCATTTGCAGATGAATTATGTCACTGAAGACATTACTGAAAATATACAGCAGCCAAATCACCAAAGGAACAAGTATAAGGACGAGATGGTCAGCAAGTTCTAAAGTGATAATCTGTTTGGAAATTTGTGTGTTGCAAGCTTTAAATAATGAAGAAATGTCCATCTCAGTCAAATCCATGGTACCTTGTTTGTCTTCAAATGTATTCTTCACATCCACTGAGACCAAAAAGAATTTCCGAACTTGGTAATTGTTTCCCAGCCAGGTCAAAAGGACACAGAGTTCATGACGGTGAGAAGGAATTGAAAGTATTGACACAGTTTTCCTTATGCAAAATTTATAAATGAAAGGATTTTGCTATTTTTCAACAAATGTCAATACCAGCCTTCATTTTAGACTGATATTCTTATCAGATCAGTGAAACTTGTAAGGAGTGAATTTAATTTTTCTACTATTCTAAAACATGTCCACTCTTACATGGATACTGGATATAGGGATGAATATGTTTTAAGACAACAGATTGAGCTGTTTGTAACTACCAAATTGAATGCAATTTTTGCCTAAACAGCAGTTTTTTGAGTTATTTTATTTTAGAAATTTTACAACTTTTCCATTTACACAGAGTAAAAACAACTCCTAAAGGTTTTCCTGGTTAAAACCATTTCTTATTTTTAGCAGTAAACAGTAAAAAGTACCCCAAAATAGAATTTTCTTTCTGTTGGCTTTCCCATAAAAGTGATTTTTTTTTTTAACCCTGTACATGAAATATATACTTAATTGTGCCTTGATTTGAAGGCACAATTTAATTTCAGTGCTGATAAATGAAGAAGGTTTAATGGGAATAACACTGGATATTCAGCTTTATTGTCTTTCTTGGCTGATACAAGCTTTATTTTAAAGCCCTATTAAAAACACATCACATGTCCTGTACTGCTGTAGTGTCACAGCTTGCCCAATTCGTAAGCCCTGGTATGACATGTACACACAGATCTATTTGTATTTGGGACTATGTTGAGTTTTGTAAGAAAAAGCTCTGATCTTGCTTTTTGTAATGCTCTCTGCTGAGTAGAGGATGTTTTTTGTAGAAGGAAGCAGCAAAAGAATTTAATCACCTATTGGAGCATTAATTCAAGTGAGCTTTTAGGGAAGAGTTTTATCAGATGAATGATTGCTCTTTGGCTGGAATCTACCCAGAACTCTTGGCCTAGAATTACATTTCCTCTTTTCCCTGTTTGGTGTATCTGTGCAATTCAGTCACGCTACTTAGGTTTCCTGCAGAACTGAAATCAAAGGTCTCAACTACAGCTTATAAGTGGAATGGAATGCTGGATGAGATGATGGCACCTGGTATCAGAAAAGAGGTACATGAGAGCAGAATGGGTGTGTGGATGTTTAAGGTGACTGTGTCAGGCCTCGAGGTGCTGGTGACAATTGGGATATTGAACACCATCAGCAAAAAGCTATTAGAAAAGAGCAAAAAGCAGTATGCAACATATTGCTTTTCTTTCCTTGAAGGAAAATTTCCAACAGATCTTAAAATACAAGTACAGTGTTTATGGCATCTCTATTTCTTAGAATATCCATAGTATTTTTTAATTTTATTCATTCATTTGGGAATCTGAATGCTTTATCTGTGTGCTTAAATGTAGTTCTTTAGTGATGACCTATTATTTAAAATCCGATCTTTCTTTCTCAGCCACAATTACACTCCTTGGATAAATAGAAAGTCAGAGAAGTCAGAAATAAAGTGAATATACTAACTATTGAAACTTAAGATTTGAGGCATAATGATTCTCTGAAAAAAGGGACAGTCATTTTTATTGTAAGCTATATGCAGTAGCAGGAAGGCAACCCAACAGACTAGTGAAGAATATTGCCATGAGACTGACTCTAGAGCCAGCAGGAAGCATGCTTTATTGCCATGAGATTCATAACAATAACCACAGTATTGATTTTTTTTCTTTATAGATCTTGGAGAAAAAAATAATAAAATGTAAATTGCAATCTAATTAGAGTGGAAAACACAGCACAGTTGACTGTTATTTCAGTTCCCATAGAGAGTGAGCGGAGAAAAATAAGATCCCAGTCAGTGAGAAGTAATGTATTGCTCCCAAAAGATCCCACAAGATAGTAGAAGCTTAATGAACGCTGAAAGAACTCCCCTTATATCTTTGAATTAATTCACTTAAGTTGTGAAATAATACACATTACTTGGGTAACAGTGGGAAAAGAATTCTAGCAACCTCAAAAGTAATGCCACCACCAGAAGGCTAAAGAAAGGTAAGGAAGGTCAAATAGGACAAAACCACAATAGACCATTAAAATCAGTCTCCAGAGCCACAAACAAAACACTAACCTGATTGGTTACCCACATTTACACTATGTTCAGTGCAAATTTTGTCTAACAAAAAACTGTGACAAAATATATATTAGGTTAGTGGGCTAAAATCCTATTTGTAAGCTCAGAGGGGTCTAAGTACAGGACAAAAGAGAAACATCATTTGTGGCTGAAAATCCTGCCAGTAGAATCCAGGGTTCCACCATTGCTCTTCCAGAACTTTTCCTTGTCAGCTTTCTCATTTGTCAGTGGTAGAGTAGAGCTACCATCAAATATAAATAGTGAAGGATGGGATTACAGGCACTACGTTGGGGAGAATGTACGTAAAATAACTTCCATTGTTGGTGGATACGTCTTTATTTCATCTAAGTAAGATTTAGCTTATGTGAACAATGAGTAAGTGGGCTTTGTAGTGGCAAATTTCAAACACTTTCAAGGAGTCTGTTTTTTTTATTTACATTTAAGGATTGTGTGGTAAAAACATCAAGGATATATTTCATGAATATTCTGCAAATTTGCAAATAATGCAATATATGTCAGGATTTAAGGAAACTTACTATAGCTGTAGAGAAAGGTGAGAATATGAACAGGTAATTGATTCAAAAAACCTGCTTTTAGTTTGATATTATTCAGATTTATTTTCCCTTTTAGTGATGACTAAATTTCAAATATTATATTAACCTTTTCATTTCAAAGTCTTCATCTTTCTCTTTTTCATATTCCTTCCTTCCATGTATCATTTTTCTGAGATACCACAAAGCAGTAACACTGCTGCAGTTAATTGCTTGAGAATTAAATATTTTACAAATGTAATAACTATTTTTTGACAGTTTTTGCCCTTCATAAAACAATTGAAACATCTTTCAATAAAAACAAACAACAAAACAAGGGATAATATATTCATCTTGATTCAAATGCAAAACTAAGTGAAAGCTTAAGCGAACCTCTCCACTTTTCTCTCATTGATGGCCATGTTCAGTGTAAGCAGCTTGAATAAATGACTCATTTGAATATACTATTAAAATAATTGCATTACTTGCACTGCTTTATTGAAATAACTGTATGACGTGTTTTTAACTGCCCATCGTTCTTGAATAATTACTTAGAAAGATCTGGATTCTTCTATGTACATTTTGCTTCAAATCTCTGTTTGCATGTTTTATAATGTGTTATGTCTGTCTTGGGCTATATTATGAGCAGATGGAAGTATTTCTTTTTAGAACATATTAAAGTAAACTGTCAGAATCATATCTTATCAAAACGTACCATTTCCTCTGGGTTTACATGTTAAAATACGTGATAAACACCATTTCTTTGTCAATGAGTCAATTATCTCAGCAGCTAGTCAATGACTCAAACAAAAGAGTCAATGCTCTTTTAAGAAATCTGGGAAGAGGGATGGGAGGTTGCTTCTTACTTCAGCAACTTCTGAGCCTGCTCAAGGCAGAAGATGCTCCAAACCTACGTGTGGGAACAGGGAGCTGAGAACCTCCAGCTCCAACAGACAGTGTCAGACTTGAGTGAGAAGCAGAGGCAAGAAAACCAGGCCTAATTGGCAACAGAAGTTGGAACTGTATTGGAAAGAGGAGATGGTAATTTCACTATTGATTTCATATCAAATACTCCCATTGGAGTATCCTAAAGTTTGGATATGGATGCATGAATATAT